GAGACAACGTAGATGCATCATTTTTATTGAGAATTTGAGATTTTCGTTTTGTTTAGTGTCATTAGTCTCATTTGAAATTGTTTAACTTTTTGATTTTTGAGACTGAGCTTGAATTTAACTTTTACTTGTGATATTCTTTGATTGTTGCATTGCAGATGGGTTCTTCTTCACCTCCTCAACGACAACAAGATGAATATCAGAATCAGAATGATGATGAATCGGAGAGAAGTGAAGATGATGTGGTGACTTGGTGAAAATGTCTTATGTTCTTGTTTTGTATTAAGTTGTTATCTTATTCTTTAACATGCTTTTTATCTCTATAGATCCTTCGACATTGGGATTTTGTAGCTTCTGGATGAAGACTCATTAAGCTTGTATGGAAGTGAAGTGATTCTGGATTGATTTTCTTTTTTTCTCTCTAAACTATTAGCTCTTATGCTCTCTCCCTCTTTGGTACTTTGCATTATGGTTTTTGGATGTTGGAATTGTTTCTAGGTTGTTTTTCTTTTTTACTCTAAACTCCTTATTCTCTCTTTGTTTGGATTTGAATTCTGGTTGTTCTAATACTCTTATACTATGCATTTCTTCTTTAGTTTTGAATTGATTTTTGAATTCTATTTCTGTTATTTGTTATTGAATGTTCGGGTATTTCGGGTTTTGTATGGTTTACTCGGGTTAGTCTGGTTTAAAAACCGACCCGAACCGATCCGAATTGTGTTTCGGTTCTACACCGGGTTCTATATCAAAATTGAAAACTGACCCGAAACCGATTGAACCCGAACCGAAACCGATCCGAAAACCAGTCGGTTCCTAATTGGACTGTTGGACGAACAGATTAGTCCAAAATGATGTTCTTGTCGTATGTTGGTTATAGAGTCATAATTCAATAAACATATGTTTATGCTTTGTTAGATTTTTCTTTTTCTTTCTTCAATTCAGCCCAACAATAATTAAAAAGTCATTCTATGATTGTAGCCCAATAAAAAAAAAACATTTACAAATTTAGAATATAAATTTTTAGAATAACGATATAGGCAATCTGTCTTAGCATTACAAAAACGAGGATAATACAAAAATTTTAAAAAACAAAGACAAGAGACAATGAGTACAAAAAATTTCAAATTGTTTATTCCTTTAGTTAGCCGTGGAATGTCGTGGAAAATCTCGTAGAGCTCCTTTGATTGAGGCTTCAAAGTAAGTGCTTTAATCAACTGTTGTGAATACGAAGCAAATGAAATTTTTTTAAAGTCCAGATCTAGAACTTGTTGCAGAGCAATTAAGAGAGCCATAGCCTCCGCCATCAGTGGAGAGCTCACATGTTTCTTCGATTTAGAGAGGTAATCAACAAAAATCTAGCCAAAACCCGCATCGCGAGAGTCCTCACGCCAGGCTGCATCCGTGAAACGCACATGCCCATTCTTTGAAAATCGCATGGATTCCATTTGTCTTCAACACGTACATGCACATTATTTTAAAATCAAATGGATTCCATTTGCCTTGCAAATTATTTACTTCTTACTTATTTATTTATTCTTCTCTTTACATTTTTTTGTAGGTCTATTATTGTTTGGGTGAATTTGCGCAGAGACAAAAACTAGATATAAAATTAGATAATTGACAATATGTGTTTTCGGTAATGGGTTTAAAGTTCAGCTTAATAACGAAAAAACCACACCTAGTCTGTCTCTGAGCGTGGAGAAATGTTTTTGACTTTTTAAGGCATTGAAAAAGCACATGTAATAAATGTTCACCAGTTGACAGAAATAACGAAGTGACGGTTATTAAATGCAATCGATTTTATTTGAACTTTATCTAATTTAAATCTGTAACGAAAAATGTAAAAAATTAACATAGTTGCATGGACACCCAATAAATTGTTTTTCAATTTTTTTAAACAACTAACCCAGTTGCGTGGATATCTAGAAATAATTTATATGATTTTGACATTTATATACAGATAAACAAATACATAGAGCGTTAGAAATAATTACAGTGTTAAATTGTTCATTCTATGTGTACATGTAAATACATATGTAGAACATTTTTAATATTTGTATACACGTAAACACATACATAGAACGTTATTAATATTTGTATACATATAAACTCGTATATAGAGGGCTATTAACATTTGTATATATGTAAACACATAGAGCGTTATTAATATTTGTATATCTGTATACACGATACACCCGATGGCTTACCGTTTCAATGATGATAATGTTTCGGTGCCGCATTTAGGAAAAAAAGCAAGACTTTATATTTCTGCTTTGCTAGAGTGTGGTTGAACAGTTACCAGAAATGTTATCGGCGGATGAGACTTATAGTTCATAGAATGAAAAGGCGGGATGATGAACACGAAAAAAAAATAGACATCCAAGAGTCGGATAGTTATAACACTAGTTAGATATAACATGTTTTATCATCTCGAGAACGACAAAAGTCAATGGTTTTGTCTCATGCAATGAACTGATTCGGAGTCCAAATATCAGAAGCGCGTAGGAAAACATCGAAAATCGATAGAAAATGAAAAGACAGTCAATTTTATCTCGCCAAACTCGGTTTTCCGACGAGATCGCCGATTAAGATAACCCCACAGACGTTGGCTTACCGAGATAATAGTGCTAATTCCTCCTGTGGGACAGTTTGATGAAAGAAGTTTGATGAAACAATAATCAGAGATGAACTGAGAGTGACGAGACTTAGGATTTACAGTAGCAAGGGCGGGATAATGAAGAAGAGAGGGAGAGAGAGAGAGAATACCCAAAAGTCGGACTGCAAAAATTAGTAGACAGCTATAATACACTTCAGTTCTCGAGAATGCCAAAATTTATTGCCTTTGTCTCACACAATAGGATGGACTTTGGTACACAATGCATAAGCGAGTGGAGTTAAAATTGGGCAAAATAGAAGCTAAAATTAGTGTTGTTCTAGGTCTTGTGTCAGTTTACCAAAAAACTAAATACTTTCCCAAATAACGTCTCTCACCTAATTATGTTTTTTTGTTTTAAAAGTTAAAACAATTTTAGGAATCGAGAATAGTTGGCCTCGTTGTCGTTTAGATAACTTTGTTTATCTAAGGAAATATAAAGAAAGACAAAATTGATAGAAACAAAAAGTGATGTATATAAACAAAATACATGAATTTAATAAATTAAATTGCATAGACATAAAAAAAAAAAACACTTGGGCCAAACTAAAGAGAATAAACTGGTAGAAAAATAACTAATTAACAGCTGACAAACTAACTGCCGTTGTTAAATTCAAAATCATATGTTGTGCGGCTGCAGTTAAAAACTCGGCTATAGGCTATAGGCTCTATGGTTCGGACTTGCAACTCTAACGTCGCGATGTAATCGACTAATTGGTCTTATCATCTTAAAAGTTAGGTATTGAGATTTTCCGGTAACCCGGATCTAACCGGATTAAAGTTTTCAATTAAAATATTAGATGTAACCATGTGTCTGATCTAAAATTGTTTATAAAAAATTTCTAACTCTATTAGAAAAAAAATCTAGACATAAAAATATATTTGTTAATATATTCAGAAAATAGAAAAATTCATTATCCTATAAATATATTTTTTTAGTATATAAATTTTTTTAAAGATTTGCTAATTCATATAATCATGAGTCATGACACATATCAAATTAAACATCAGATATCACCATATATCATATCTAAGTTTGTTAATGTATATTTAAAAAAATTGCAAAAGTAGTTTTATATATTAAGAAATAAATTTTGTTAATTAATTAAAAAAAAGAACTAAAATTTCTTTATCCTATCTCAAAAATCCTTATTATATAAAAACTTGATTTCTCGAAGTTACTAAGTCGGGTTTTGTGCAAAAAAACTCTCAAACTCGCCCATTTTTGCAATATTACCCTTCATCTCCGAAAAGTGCAGATTAATCCTACGAAATCCAAAATAATACGCAATATAACCCTTATATGTATATTGTAAACGTTTTTCCGGTCATATATATTAGTTTTCTAAAATTCTAAAAAATAGAGTTGAACTCTCTATCGCGAGGGCTTCGATTTGAAATATTATTTGTCAAAATTTTATGAACTTGACAGTAGCGAATAAGGATTATTTTGCGTATTATTTTGGACTTCGTATGATTAATCTGCATTTTTCGGAGATAGAAGGTAAAGTTGCAAAAATGGACGAATTGAAAGTTTTTTTTTGCATAAAACCTTACTAAGTCACGTGATTGCAAGACATGTCAATTAAAACATCAGCTGTCTAGTCTAAATTTGTTTACATATTTAAGATAAGCATCAGCTGTCTAGTCTAAATTTGTTTTTATGGCAGAATGTGTTTGGATCGATGTTACTAAAGTTTTAAAATACATTAACTCAGACGCTTGGATGAAATCTTCATTTTACTATTTTTGTCTACACTATTATTATTATTAGAGATGTGGAATTAGACTAATTAAATTAAAATTGTATGAAGCAAAAATTGTTCTAGTTAATAATACTTACAAAGAAACAACAAAATAAAGCTTTTTATTTTGTCATCCGAAATTAATTAACACTCAAAAAGTTATTCCTAAGGAATGTTGTTTATATATGTGATATGACGCGGTTCTGTACGAACTTTTCGTGCCAGAGAGTCCGTTTTGACATTAGCTCTACGAAAAATTAAAGATAAAGAAAAACTTGAGAATTCTTCCTTGTCGCTCTGAAACATATCTTACCCTTGGACCCATTGCAGGTATTATTAAGATGTTCAATCTGGTTTTCGGTTTGGTTTTTCAGATTTTGTTTTTCATGAAATATAAGAAGCACATATATATAGTTTCGGTTTTCATTTGATTCCAAGGTATTGAGAAGTAATTTTTTTTCCCGGTTGCTTGGTTATGGTTTGTTCAAAGGAAATTGAATCAGTTAATGCATTGTCACACCTACATATATTTATACTACTCTTACTATCATAGTTTAACCAAGAGTGGTAAATGATTGATAGATAAGGATACTACTTCATGTTCGAACTTTAACCAATGTATGGTTTACTATATGTGCAGTGACACTGTCTCATTCTGGTCTGACGCTCCCGCTTCTATGCTTCCAACCTTAAGAACACTTGTATCAGCGGGATTACGCGTATGGGTTTTCAGGTCTAACACCTACTCCTTGGCATTTTATGTGGTAATTTAAGTGAAAACAAGCGATAACGGGTTTAAATTGTTTGGTAAAATAGTGGGGATACAGATGGACGAATCCCAGTGACCGCAACCAGATACTCATTAAAGAAGCTTGGTCTTAAGATAGTCCAAGACTGGACACCTTGGTACACCAAACTACAGGTTTGGTTCCAAGTTACAAACTTTAACTTTTCTTCCAAGTAAGTGTGTGATTGACTCTAATTTTTTTTCTTTTTTTCTTCACTCGCCGTTAGGTCGGAGGGTGGACGGTGGAGTATGATGGGTTAATGTTTGTGACGGTAAGAGGAGCGGGACACCAAGTTCCGACATTCAAACCTAGAGAAGCTCTTCAGCTCGTTCATCATTTTCTAGGCAATAAGAAACTTCCTACATATCCCTTTTGATATATTCTCAACCCACAGATTTTATCATATTTATATATTTCTTAAGAAAATAATAAACAGATTTGAGCAAAACAGGCCATTATATTAGAATTGTATATATGATTTATCGCGTTTTACACGTTTTCCCCTGTTACTATGACCTCTAATTAAAACTCTCATGCTATCTTCATTCTTTCACAATTTAGTCATCCAAACCACACAAATTTTAGCGAGACTTACCTCTATATTAATTGTCCGATTTTACCGCTAAACGATTGACATAAAATATATAACAAATAAATGTACATGACTCTTGTCCGATTCTCTCTTCTCTTTCGAGTTATCGTCATTGTTATGGCAACGAATTATCATTATATTTATTTCGTTTAAAGACAAGAATATGAAAACAATATTGTTACAGTTTATATGTTGAACAAAAAAAAATTGTTATAGTTGATATAATTCAAGTATCTTTTATTGATAGAACTTTTTTAAAAGTCGATTGTAAACGAAATTTGAATAGAATCACGATAAAATACAACAACATTGAAACGAATCTCTGCCTGGTACACACAAAGCATTGTTAAACGGTGGTTTGTTCACTCCACATGAGTCATAGCAATCTTCTTTCTTATGACATGGTCCTTTGAATTCACAATCTGAGGAAGCATCCATAATTCCTGTTGAATCCATCACAATATAAAAATATTTACTTGTTAAGTTATCACCATAGATATTTTTGTTATGTATAAAATGCCTATGATTATTACATATTTATATGCATATATTTTTGTCGACAATATATATTGTATACAGAATTTTGGTTCGGATAATTTCGCAGTGATAACACAAATACAAACATCTATCTAGGCTCAAACCTATATGCATATATGATTGAAAAAGCATATTCTTATTAGACAAGAAACAAATACTTACGAGTGGATTGAGCACTAACAAGGAAGGAAACGATGACAAAAAGAGCAAGAATGTGAAGTTTCATCGATGTCATCTTTCGATTGATTTTTCTACTATATAATATTTGATATAAGATCCTTTTTTCCTAAACGCTGAATAAACGAAGAAGAAGAACTATGGTTATTTTATACTGAACTTTTGAAATAATTTAAAATAATGTTACCTTTTAAAACTTTAATGACTTTATGCATGCTTTTAATAAATTGATTTTGATTTTGATATATTATTAAAAACATATATCCTCTATTAAAAGAGAGTCATTTAAAACAGAATCAAACTATTAAAAACATATATCCTCTATTAAAAGAGAGTCATTGTTGCTGATGTGGCAAACTCACAATTATTCTAACTTTTTTAATTACTCTATACTTATTACTAAACATTCTTATCTCCAAATCTTATCTATCTCAATTAGTCTAAATTTAATTTCCAAACACATTCAATAATCAATATCCACTAAAAATTATTTTTTTATAATTTACTGCATTGGTATTGATGTTACATTATTTTCAAGTTTCAAAATTAAACTAATAAAAAAATCATTGAAAAATTATTTTCTAAGATATTACTCTTTGAATAGGAGCCGGAAAAATTATGTTATAATCAATGAAGTAATTCTTTATTTCTTACTTTGTCAATTAAAATTATTAACATTTAATCTGATTTAGTTAAATATAAAAACATTTATACTTTTTAATATATTTAAATCAGAAAAATTCTTTTCTACAAGAAGAATCGTTAGAATACAAGCCAATTTACAATCATTTTTGTTAAAATAAAAATCAATATTTTGTATGTTTACATATTAATTAAAAAGAAACATTGCAAGTTTTTTTTGTTGCCTACGTGTATTGCGAAATTTGTTCTTAGTAATTTTGATCACAAAAACACTATAATGAATTACATTAAGATAAAAATTTAAATTAAACTCTACTTTATTAAAAAGTAGTAAAATATTCATTTTTCTATGTTCCGTGATATATATGCAAGTAATACTTACTTCAACATATATATATATATATATATATATATATATATATTATTAGGGATAATTTTATTTCACATTGTAAAGAATAAGAGATTTTGACTAGTATATAAGATATATGGGTTACTCCATTCATTGCCAATTGGTTTTGAGTTAGAAGCCCATATACTAATATGGTATCAGAAGTCGATCCATACATGTCTAATCCAATCCACCATCGGCCTGACCAAATAGTTGGCCCGCCGATCCATGACCAAGCATACCGAGATCAATGGCTAGAGCTATCATCTCGAAGGAGCGTATTAGGAATAATATTATCCCACATTGGAAAAAACAAGAGATATTGACTAGTATATAAGATATATGGACCACTCTATAGTAATTATTACTATCTACATAAGATATATTATTATAACTACATATAGAAGCAAGGTCGTGCTACCCAATTGGTGTAAAAGTCTTAACTATTTACTCGACATTCCCATTAAGTACCACGATACTAAACACATACAATATTTTCTTTCTTTGTTAAATTATCAATTAGTATATGTTACATCCATCTTTTTCTACAAAAATAAACTCAAAAAATTCAAAAAGAAATAGTATATACTGACAACAAAGTAAAGCTATGAGATACTTCAACCAGGACTGGCTCAAAAAAATTAAGAACCCTGAGCTGAAAAAAACAATTAGCCCTAATTTCTTATGTAGATATATTAAAAAAAAATTTTGGACTCTAATTTTAATAAATTTAGTTGAAAAAAAAAGACAAAAAGATTTTGGACCATGTGCATGAGCACTCCCCGCACATGGGGAGAGCCGGCACTAACTTCAACATAACATCAACATCATAACTAGGCCTGGGCATTTTCTCCGAAACCCGAAAACCCGACCCGACCCGACCCGAAAAAAGAGGTTCGGGTACGGTTTCGGTTAGACTCTATAAACCGAACGGATAATATGATTGATTTGCAGCAGGTTCGGTTTCGGTTCGGGTGTAAACCGAAACCCAATCAGTTAACCGGCCATTTATTGTATACACATATATATATATAAGGATTTGTGTAGTTAAGAGAAGTAATCATATATTCATAAACCCAAAAATATCGAGACTTGAGAGCACATATCTCCTGTTTCCGATATTCTCTCCGATTTTCTAGATTGCTTTTGCCGTTTCCACTTCTCCACTCCATTGATTCGTTTCTCATCTTAAAGCCTATATAAACCCCAAATTGGCAAACTGGAAACCCTAAATCCCCTAAACGATTCACGAGAAATAGCTGCTAAACCTACTCTATCAGCTTCTTCGACAAATCAATCGTCGGTTTGTGTTTCTCCTTTCTCGTATTCTCTTATTCAAACTTTGTAATTCTATCATTTCTGTGTTTAATTTATTTTGTATTTCAGTTTCTTATGCATCTTAGATTGATAGAGCTTTGTAATTATGTCATTTATGGGTTTCAGTTTCTTATGTTTAACAATAGGTTTGTGAATTGTGACTTTGTGTGAATGTGAAGTTGTGTAATTGTGAAGTATGTAGCCGTAGGAATCTGTAGTATGTAGCCGTAGGAATGTAGCTCTAGGAATCTGTAGTGTGTAGCCGTAGGAATCTGTTCCATTTTCTCGATTATGTTGCTCACTTATCAATCTATCTTCTCTGTTCTCTAATTGAGACAACGTAGATGCATCATTTTTATTGAGAATTTGAGATTTTCATTTTGTTTAGTGTCATTAGTCTCATTTGAAATTGTTTAACTTTTTGATTTTTGAGACTGAGCTTGAATTTAACTTTTACTTGTGATATTCTTTGATTGTTGCATTGCAGATGGGTTCTTCTTCACCTCCTCAACGACAACAAGATGAATATCAGAATCAGAATGATGATGAATCGGAGAGAAGTGAAGATGATGTGGTGACTTGGTGAAAATGTCTTATGTTCTTGTATTGTATTAAGTTGTTATCTTATTCTTTAACATGCTTTTTATCTCTATAGATCCTTCGACATTGGGATTTTGTAGCTTCTGGATGAAGACTCATTAAGCTTGTATGGAAGTGAAGTGATTCTGGATTGATTTTCTTTTTTTTCTCTCTAAACTATTAGCTCTTATGCTCTCTCCCTCTTTGGTACTTTGCATTATGGTTTTTGGATGTTGGAATTGTTTCTAGGTTGTTTTTCTTTTTTACTCTAAACTCCTTATTCTCTCTTTGTTTGGATTTGAATTCTGGTTGTTCTAATACTCTTATACTATGCATTTCTTCTTTAGTTTTGAATTGATTTTTGAATTCTATTTCTGTTATTTGTTATTGAATGTTCGGGTATTTCGGGTTTTGTATGGTTTACTCGGGTTAGTCTGGTTTAAAAACCGACCCGAACCGATCCGAATTGTGTTTCGGTTCTACACCGGGTTCTATATCAAAATTGAAAACTGACCCGAAACCGATTGAACCCGAACCGAAACCGATCCGAAAACCAGTCGGTTCCTAATCGGACTGTTGGACGAACAGATTAGTCCAAAATGATGTTCTTGTCGTATGTTGGTTATAGAGTCATAATTCAATAAACATATGTTTATGCTTTGTTAGATTTTTCTTTTTCTTTCTTCAATTCAGCCCAACAATAATTAAAAAGTCATTCTATGATTGTAGCCCAATAAAAAAAAAACATTTACAAATTTAGAATATAAATTTTTAGAATAACGATATAGGCAATCTGTCTTAGCATTACAAAAACGAGGATAATACAAAAATTTTAAAAAACAAAGACAAGAGACAATGAGTACAAAAAATTTCAAATTGTTTATTCCTTTAGTTAGCCGTGGAATGTCGTGGAAAATCTCGTAGAGCTCCTTTGATTGAGGCTTCAAAGTAAGTGCTTTAATCAACTGTTGTGAATACGAAGCAAATGAAAATTTTTTAAAGTCCAGATCTAGAACTTGTTGCAGAGCAATTAAGAGAGCCATAGCCTCCGCCATCAGTGGAGAGCTCACATGTTTCTTCGATTTAGAGAGGTAATCAACAAAAATCTAGCCAAAACCCGCATCGCGAGAGTCCTCACGCCAGGCTGCATCCGTGAAACGCACATGCCCATTCTTTGAAAATCGCATGGATTCCATTTGTCTTCAACACGCACATGCACATTATTTTAAAATCAAATGGATTCCATTTGCCTTGCAAATTATTTACTTCTTACTTATTTATTTATTCTTCTCTTTACATTTTTTTGTAGGTCTATTATTGTTTGGGTGAATTTGCGCAGAGACAAAAACTAGATATAAAATTAGATAATTGACAATATGTGTTTTCGGTAATGGGTTTAAAGTTCAGCTTAATAACGAAAAAACCACACCTAGTCTGTCTCTGAGCGTGGAGAAATGTTTTTGACTTTTTAAGGCATTGAAAAAGCACATGTAATAAATGTTCACCAGTTGACAGAAATAACGAAGTGACGGTTATTAAATGCAATCGATTTTATTTGAACTTTATCTAATTTAAATCTGTAACGAAAAATGTAAAAAATTAACATAGTTGCATGGACACCCAATAAATTGTTTTTCAATTTTTTTAAACAACTAACCCAGTTGCGTGGATATATAGAAATAATTTATATGATTTTGACATTTATATACAGATAAACAAATACATAGAGCGTTAGAAATAATTACAGTGTTAAATTGTTCATTCTATGTGTACATGTAAATACATATGTAGAACATTTTTAATATTTGTATACACGTAAACACATACATAGAACGTTATTAATATTTGTATACATATAAACTCGTATATAGAGGGCTATTAACATTTGTATATATGTAAACACATAGAGCGTTATTAATATTTGTATATCTGTATACACGATACACCCGATGGCTTACCGTTTCAATGATGATAATGTTTCGGTGCCGCATTTAGGAAAAAAAGCAAGACTTTATATTTCTGCTTTGCTAGAGTGTGGTTGAACAGTTACCAGAAATGTTATCGGCGGATGAGACTTATAGTTCATAGAATGAAAAGGCGGGATGATGAACACGAAAAAAAAATAGACATCCAAGAGTCGGATAGTTATAACACTAGTTAGATATAACATGTTTTATCATCTCGAGAACGACAAAAGTCAATGGTTTTGTCTCATGCAATGAACTGATTCGGAGTCCAAATATCAGAAGCGCGTAGGAAAACATCGAAAATCGATAGAAAATGAAAAGACAGTCAATTTTATCTCGCCAAACTCGGTTTTCCGACGAGATCGCCGATTAAGATAACCCCACAGACGTTGGCTTACCGAGATAATAGTGCTAATTCCTCCTGTGGGACAGTTTGATGAAAGAAGTTTGATGAAACAATAATCAGAGATGAACTGAGAGTGACGAGACTTAGGATTTACAGTAGCAAGGGCGGGATAATGAAGAAGAGAGGGAGAGAGAGAGAGAATACCCAAAAGTCGGACTGCAAAAATTAGTAGACAGCTATAATACACTTCAGTTCTCGAGAATGCCAAAATTCATTGCCTTTGTCTCACACAATAGGATGGACTTTGGTACACAATGCATAAGCGAGTGGAGTTAAAATTGGGCAAAATAGAAGCTAAAATTAGTGTTGTTCTAGGTCTTGTGTCAGTTTACCAAAAAACTAAATACTTTCCCAAATAACGTCTCTCACCTAATTATGTCTTTTTGTTTTAAAAGTTAAAACAATTTTAGGAATCGAGAATAGTTGGCCTCGTTGTCGTTTAGATAACTTTGTTTATCTAAGGAAATATAAAGAAAGACAAAATTGATAGAAACAAAAAGTGATGTATATAAACAAAATACATGAATTTAATAAATTAAATTGCATAGACATAAAAAAAAAAACACTTGGGCCAAACTAAAGAGAATAAACTGGTAGAAAAATAACTAATTAACAGCTGACAAACTAACTGCCGTTGTTAAATTCAAAATCATATGTTGTGCGGCTGCAGTTAAAAACTCGGCTATAGGCTATAGGCTCTATGGTTCGGACTTGCAACTCTAACGTCGCGATGTAATCGACTAATTGGTCTTATCATCTTAAAAGTTAGGTATTGAGATTTTCCGGTAACCCGGATCTAACCGGATTAAAGTTTTCAATTAAAATATTAGATGTAACCATGTGTCAGATCTAAAATTGTTTATAAAAAATTTCTAACTCTATTAGAAAAAAAATCTAGACATAAAAATATATTTGTTAATATATTCAGAAAATAGAAAAATTCATTATCCTATAAATATATTTTTTTAGTATATAAATTTTTTTAAAGATTTGCTAATTCATATAATCATGAGTCATGACACATATCAAATTAAACATCAGATATCACCATATATCATATCTAAGTTTGTTAATGTATATTTAAAAAAATTGCAAAAGTAGTTTTATATATTAAGAAATAAATTTTGTTAATTAATTAAAAAAAAGAACTAAAATTTCTTTATCCTATCTCAAAAATCCTTATTATATAAAAACTTGATTTCTCGAAGTTACTAAGTCGGGTTTTGTGCAAAAAAACTCTCAAACTCGCCCATTTTTGCAATATTACCCTTCATCTCCGAAAAGTGCAGATTAATCTTACGAAATCCAAAATAATACGCAATATAACCCTTATATGTATATTGTAAACGTTTTTCCGGTCATATATATTAGTTTTCTAAAATTCTAAAAAATAGAGTTGAACTCTCTATCGCGAGGGCTTCGATTTGAAATATTATTTGTCAAAATTTTATGAACTTGACAGTAGCGAATAAGGATTATTTTGCGTATTATTTTGGACTTCGTATGATTAATCTGCATTTTTCGGAGATAGAAGGTAAAGTTGCAAAAATGGACGAATTGAAAGTTTTTTTTTGCATAAAACCTTACTAAGTCACGTGATTGCAAGACATGTCAATTAAAACATCAGCTGTCTAGTCTAAATTTGTTTACATATTTAAGATAAGCATCAGCTGTCTAGTCTAAATTTGTTTTTATGGCAGAATGTGTTTGGATCGATGTTACTAATGTTTTAAAATACATTAACTCAGACGCTTGGATGAAATCTTCATTTTACTATTTTTGTCTACACTATTATTATTATTAGAGATGTGGAATTAGACTAATTAAATTAAAATTGTATGAAGCAAAAATTGTTCTAGTTAATAATACTTACAAAGAAACAACAAAATAAAGCTTTTTATTTTGTCATCCGAAATTAATTAACACTCAAAAAGTTATTCCTAAGGAATGTTGTTTATATATGTGATATGACGCGGTTCTGTACGAACTTTTCGTGCCAGAGAGTCCGTTTTGACATTAGCTCTACGAAAAATTAAAGATAAAGAAAAACTTGAGAATTCTTCCTTGTCGCTCTGAAATTCTTCCAAATACACTGAAAACGCCGGCCATTCGGTTGGAGAAGACACCATATTCACCAGGTCAAAACAGTCTGTAAAAAATGCTACCTCCTGATTATCTGTACCAATCATACACTTCATCGCCCAAAAGAGAGCCTCGACTTTAGTATGTAATGGAAATAGACTTCTACGGAAGTTGGCAGCTCCCATGGTTGGCAGCTCTCCACTTGATGATGTATAAAATCATCCTGTGACGGAAAACTTATCATTTCCTTTTCATGATCCATCCACAAAAACAGCGATATCCCGAATAATTCGCTTCAAATGAGACAGTCCTCACTCTAGACCGAGTTACCAAATCCACAGATCCCTAAATTACATTTATGAGCTCAATTTGAGCTAACTGCCTCTTTTTCCGCTAACCTTCACAACAAAGCTATAACTTACGTAAGCGTAAGGGCACACACAATGGTATACCCGAACATGAGGTATGAGTAATTTAAAATTGAAAAATAATGCAAATGTTGCTTTAGAACCAACACACGAGTGTTAAGTTACACTCGGATGTGAGAGGGGTGTGAGAGCCACGTGTCATGAAGGGGTTGGTCGGCGGAGAGAGAGATATTTATTTTTTTTAATTTTTCCAGCCACTCAAGCCTCGCCACCTGTGCCTTACACCCGACGAACACAAGTTGCTATTTCACATCCGTTTCTTGTATCATCACCCTCAATTCTATTAATTTGTTTTTTTTAAATACTCACATCCAAGCTAAACATGCGCCATTGTGTATGGTCTAAGAGAAAAAGATATTAACAAGCGTGTTATTGTTACTTAACTACACCAAAAAAAAAAAAACTAAAAACTAAATACAAAAGGTGTAAGTATCATTTATATATTACTGAGTAGACCTCGCCGGAGACTATCGCAATCGACGAGATAAGCGAAGCCATAAGCGAGATTCATTAGTGTAGCCTCGTGAAGCTCTTCATTAACCGTCGCAGTCGCGTCCGTCGAGAAAAAAACCCTAAACCCTTTAACAAACGCTTCACGCGCCGTCGTCTCACAGCACAGGTTCGTCATCACTCCAATCACGATCACCTCCTTAACCCCGATCTTGCCCAGCTTTTCATGGAGGCGCGTGTTGTTAAACGCGCTGTACGTGCTCTTCTCCACGATCTCTTCTGGTTTGGTGAGTATCTGGATCTCCCGGATGATTTCGGAATCGGTGGTTCCGTCGAGGATGAGATCGCCGTTCCACCACTCGCCGAGCATGCCGTGATCGGTTGGGGATTTGTGGTTGTGGCGCGTGAAGAATACGGGGATTGAAGCGCGTCGACAGATGTCGATGGTGGTGAGAGCGTTGTTGAGGATGGGTTTGGCCATGGAGGAGAAGTGATTCTGCATATCGATAACGAGAAGAGCTGCGGTTTTTGGGTTTGGGTCTCGCTTTCGTGTCTCGTACTTTCTCGTTGATGACGAAGCCATTTTTGGCGTTGAAGATGAAACTCTTGATCGGTGAAGAACGAAAGCATTAGTCACTCACTTATTGGGCCGACTGAAATATAAACTGGGCTTAGCCCAAGTATGATATTATTGGCCTATGTATGTTGGTTATACAGGCATAATTCAATAAGCATATGTTGGTTATACAGGCATAATTCAATAAGCATATGTTTGTTGTATATAGTATAATGTTGTTTGTTACATTTTTGCAGGTGAATGAATACAAGTAACCTGCTCTAAAGAGGAATATGATGATGTACATAAAGATTAATCTACAAAGACTATACTTCTTTATCTTCTAGCTTGTGTTGGACAGCTTCCACAAGTTGGAGTAACATTGCTCCAATGAAGTACCATGTAACTCCTGCTAACAATATCTGCTGCCATGGACTGTTAACTATAGCTAAAGCCAGCGAGCCGCCGATATGGTCGTTGAGCTCAGAGGCGGCTCTGTAACTTGCTTGGTACTGAACCAAGAATACTGCTACTATGGCTGTCCCAATTGGGAATTTCTTTATCCTGAAATGTCTTCTATTGTCTCTTCTACTAGCAGGTTTCTCTTCTGAAGGAAATGTCTTACGAGTCACTTGCGGAATCGAGCTAGCTTTGGAACTGGTGTTGTTTCCAGACGAGGGAAGAGCTGTGTTTGATGGAGTCCAATAATCTTCTCCAAGCATGTAAGCTGATCCTTTTTCTTTAGTTTTCCCCCCGCTCTGTTCTGCTTGTTTCATTGCTGCCACAGCATCTTGAAGCTTTCTGATATCTGGATCAACTGTTTTTTTTCGTTTGGTGAAAGTTAGACTCATGTTTGAATCTGGACTCAACGGTTTCGTGTACGGTGATGATCTCCAGTATAGCCAATTGGAAATGGACCTTATTGCCTCTACTGCACTTATTTGTACTTCTCTCTGCAAGTATTAATATAACTACTTATTATCTGACAGGTAAGTTTATAACTTGGCTTTTACTACTTCTTACTTCTTAGGATAATGGATAACTCACCTGGGAAGTTTCTTTCGTGGTTCGGCTCATGGCTTTGGCGTATCTTTCTTGGAACTTCTTGACATCAACAAATACATTGGAGACACGCTCGCCAACCGTGTTTCCAACCCCGATTCTCACGTTGCCTCGTGGTTGCTTTGACATAAGGAACTCTAATGGAGCAAGGTCAGATCTCTCCACCATTCTGCACATCTCATAAAGAATCATACTTTATGTATTTCTCTAAATGTCTCTCTTGACTTCACATATTGAGAGGGAATTGAAACAAAACCATTACTACATGTCTACATCTACTAGTTATGTGCTTACGAAATGCAGTCGACAAGGCAAGCTTCGATGGCTTCTTTGATTTTGGATTCAGGATCAGCCCATTGAGCAACAACCCTCGCTCTCCCGTAAGCAGTTTCAATAGCAAATGTTTTCTCTGCACACAAAGCACACTTTAAGCAACCAACACACTTAACCTCGTCAACAAATGCAGCTCGTTGCTCTGTTTCTGGTCCACACCAAACCGAATAGATCGGTTTCCCTGTGTATCCTCTGAGTTCTTCCAGTTTTGCTTGCTCCTACAACAAGAAAGTTTCATATTTACTTGGTGTGCCCTTGACAGAGACTACAAGAATCAATATAAGAGCTAACCTTGTCATAAGCTTGACGCGTGATCGGATCAGAGAGAAGCTGGTAAGCCTCGTTAAGGATGATGGCCATGTCGTGACCGGGATCTCCTGCGATATCGGGATGACACCGTTTCTGCAACGCACGATAGGCTGCTTTGATCTGAGACTTATCAGAGCTCCGATCAATACCCAAGAGGTCGTATAGATCAAAGTCTGTGATAGATGAAGATGATGTAGAAGAAGTGGCTCTACATTTGAGCTTGAGTGGTGATCTAATGGTGATGAGCTTCTGAGATGTGGTACATGGCCATGTAGTAGCAGTTGACGGAAGAAGAGTCGTCGGAGTAAAAATAGCCGGTGACATTTTTTCCCCTTCTCTGTTAGAGAGGAACAAGTTGTTGAAAAAACCAAAAATATCTCTGTAGGAAGCTATTTTTCCATTTCTCTTGGAAAGATATTTAATTTGGGACGGACAAAGAAAGTTCCAAATTGAGTTATAAATTTTTACGCTAAAATGAAGAATATTAATTTGAATAAAAAGCTTAGAAAAGAAAATTCTTGAAAAAAGACAAAAAGTAGTTGATTGGTAGCAATAGAAAGAGTTGTACTATTGTGATAATATCCATCTATACGAATGAAAGTTTAAGGCTGAGGATCATGGCATAGTGAATTATCGTAATGTTTTTCTGATAAGGAAAAAAAAAAAAAAAGTCTACCCTTCAGCTATTTTCACGATTACAGGCTACCTAATTTTTGGTTTGGAATTCAAAAAATCCCACTCTACACTACGTTATGTCTTTTTCACAATCTTTTTTTTTAGAATATCAAATTTCAAAAATTAACAAAATTTTAAACAGAGGAAAATCCTTTGGGAATATTTCGCTATTTTTTTCCACCCTATCTATATACGACAAAATAATTTTTATGGGCTTTATAAAAAATATTATGAAATCAAAATGGGCCTTAAGATAGATCCACTAAATTAAGCCCAAGAGCTTTCACTGATTCTACAACGAAGATCGCTGAAAATTTCCTTTCCCATTTGGCTGGCTAATAGGGTTCAGTACAAAATTCGGATCCGTAGTAGGTTTTAGAATTTTAAGATCATTGAAACAGCCATGTCTAGGCAGGTCACCAGACTTCTCGGATCTCTTCGCCGTTCCGGCGGCGGCGGCAGCTCAGAGGTCTGCTCTCTCACTTCATTGACACAGTCTCGCTCCTTCGGGACAACTCCTCCGCCTCCTGCGGCTGTCTTTGTCGACAAAAACACCCGTGTCATCTGCCAAGGTATTACCGGAAAGAATGGGACCTTCCACACTGAACAAGCCATTGAATACGGCACCAAAATGGTATTGTATTCGAGAGCAATATACTTCTTAGCGTCTTTGTGCAAATTCGGATTCAATGTTTGTTTATCTCTGCCAATTCACTGGGAATTGGTTTGGTTTTGCAGCTGAAATGGTGTCTGTTTTTGTGTTTGCTTTAAAGATTGTGATAAGCTAATTTTAAGGTTTGTGGTTAATAGGTAGCAGGAGTGACACCAAAGAAGGGTGGAACTGAACATTTGGGTCTACCTGTTTTTAATACTGTTGCTGAAGCTAAGGCTGAGACTAAAGCCAATGCCTCTGTGATTTACGTTCCTGCGCCTTTCGCTGCTGCTGCTATCATGGAAGGTTTAGCTGCTGAGTTAGATCTCATTGTCTGCATTACTGAAGGAATTCCTCAACATGACATGGTAATGACCGTTACCGGTTTCCATTTATTTTTGTGATATCTTCTTTATTTGATAGGTTTGCACACAGTAATTTTAGTGGCTCTACTGATTTATCTGGATTTTGTACATGTAGGTTCGCGTAAAGGCTGCTCTTAACAGTCAGTCAAAAACTAGGCTAATTGGCCCTAACTGCCCTGGTATTATCAAACCTGGTGAATGCAAGATTGGGATCATGCCGGGATATATCCACAAGCCGGGGAAGATAGGGATTGTTTCTCGATCTGGAACATTGACATATGAAGCTGTAAGGTTCTTTTGTGTTGCCTTCATGTTTGTCTCTGTCTTTCTCAATTTTTAATCTTCATGGCCTTTAGCTTTCCCCTAAATCAAGATGGCATAATGAGAAATCAAAGAATTCATATTATTAGTTTTCTTACCTAAGAACCGCTGCTCCTTCGATTGTTAGATTAAGCTTTCACCGGTGTCAGTTTCTTGAATTTTTGGATGATTTTGGATTACTGGAAGACCTGCTTATTAAGTACTTCTTCTAATGGTTGCTGTTTGGTTGATCTTTCATGCAGGTTTTTCAAACTACTGCAGTAGGTTTGGGGCAATCTACATGTGTAGGAATTGGTGGGGATCCGTTTAATGGCACAAATTTTGTTGACTGCTTGGAGAAGTTCTTTGCTGACCCTCAAACAGAAGGTCTTGGTTTCTGGACACCATAATTGAGCTTTTTTTATTCCATACATCTTATTATCTTTTCCCATTTGTCTAAATTCATTGTTTCCTTTGAGTCACTTACCTTTAATATGTAGTTGATATCCCAAGACTACTACTAGTTCTTTAGTATGTAGGAGAAAGTGATACATTTGCAGTATTAGATGCAGGTTTATCTATATTACACTTTGTGATTATCTCGCTCTGTTTTGTAGATTAGTGAAAGAATCCAGCATTGTTTTTGTTATTAAGAAATTATTGACTTATTTTCAGGTATCGTTCTCATTGGAGAAATCGGTGGTACTGCAGAAGAAGATGCTGCTGCTTTGATAAAGGTAAATGCGATGCATCTTTCTAAAGAATCAAGAGTTGCCATTTTTAGATGATCAATCGTAAAAACATTTCGGTTTTCAATCAAACAGGAAAGTGGTACAGACAAGCCTGTAGTTGCTTTCATTGCTGGACTTACTGCACCACCCGGGCGACGTATGGGTCATGCTGGAGGTAGATAAACTTTACTTGGCTCTTTTATTCATTCACTGTTTTCCCACTCGAACACAGGATTAAATCTTTGTATTGTTTTTTTTTTGGATCGGTGAAGCCATTGTTTCCGGTGGTAAGGGCACAGCTCAAGATAAGATAAAGAGCCTAAGAGATGCAGGGGTTAAGGTGGTTGAGTCACCAGCTAAGATTGGTGCGGCGATGTTTGAGATTTTCCAAGAAAGAGGTCTTTTAAAGTGAAACTGAATTTATGTCATAAAACGATGAGATGTTTCAGAAATCAACCTCTCTAAATAACAACAGTTTGCAAAAATAGAAGAGAGAAATGGAAACCCTAAATTTTTTTTATCATGGATATGAACCTTTTTGGGGTTGTTTTCTCCCACAAAAAGATTATTGCAGATAGAAAAATAGTCTCTTTTTATATATGCCATTCTTCTATTTTTCAGTTTATTGGAATTGGGCCTCTGTGTTTTTTTTGTCTTTGTTTTGGTTAGATTACCAAAAATGAAAATGAATCAATTTCTCAAATTTCTTCTTTTAAGAATCAAAGTCTTCTAACTTAGCTATGTAATGGTTTGTGTTTGTGTTACTATTTATTATTCAAACTAGGGGAGGTCCCCGCGCCCGGCGCGGGGTTGTATGTTGATTAAAACCAGATTTAGTCATTTAGGGTTATAAGTTTTAGACAATTATTGATTTAATTTTGTCAAGAGTATAATTTTTATAACGACATTAATATAGAATTATGGTAAAACGCCATAACGTTTGATATATTATTGCGAGAAAATAGTGATTATTATCCTCTGAATATAGTAAAATGCAAAACGGAAAACTAAAATCATTAGAACCAGAAAGTATAAATTTAGTAGTCTTGGTTTGCTCATCAACAACCAAAGATAATCAAAAGATCAAAATTGGATGTGTGACATTTGTCCTTTCTTCTTGTTGGAAAAGAAATCTCGCATCCTCGTTACATCATGACAAAAATGATTGAATAGAATCTGCGAACACTTGTATGAAGCAGTACCTCTTCGTGTACCTTAATTATCAAAGGAATATAGTTTCAATGTCTCAAACCCCAACAATACATGTTAAATAACAAAACCAAAACAAAATACTTTCACTCATTTCAGTTCTTGCAAATCTGAATATACATATGGTAATGTCATCAATACATTGCCTCCACTCAGCGAAAAATTTATTGACATAAAACCACGGTAGTCGATACCGGAGACGCTCACAACTACAAACAACAGAAATTTCGAAGGTACCAATAGTTCTTGACTTCGAATTTAATAATGTGACAATGACAATAATGTGACATCGACAATATTATGTTAACTTACAAAATCCTTCAATTTTTACAAGACATTGAAGTTTAAAGATTATGTTCATTTGGAAACTCCTTCCATTATCCTAAAGATATTGATGTCAAAACTCTTACGTTAATTTTGATATCATGCTCTTCCTCTCCAGACTATTTTAAATAATTGCCCACTCGTCAATGACTGGTTTCTTGGGAGCAAATTCAATCTGATGAGTGTTGTTTTTGTACTTTTGTAACAGAGTATGGGATCACCTCCTGCTCCTCTGTGAGATCTTTCGAGGTATGGAATTTGGTTTTCTCTAGGATTTATCCTCGACAAAGATTCTTTTGATTTTGGACTGAGATACTTCTTGGACCGACACTCTTCTACCCATGAGATACTTAAATAATTGTCAACTCGTCAAAGATTGGGTTCTTGGGAGCAAATTCAATCAAATGAGTGTTGTCTATGCACTTTTTCAGCGGAGTCTCGGGATCACCTCATGCTCCTCTGTGAGCTCTTCCTAGGTGTGGAATTTAGTTTTCGCTAGGCTTTATCCTCGACAAAGGTTGTTGTGCTCCTGGACTAAGCTACTTTCTTGGATCCGGCACTCTTTCTCTCTAGAGTCACTTAAATAATTGCCGACTCGTAAAAGACTGGCTTCTTGGGGACAAATTTAATCCGATGAGTGTTGTCTTTGTACTTTTGTAACGGAGTCCCGAGAGCACCTCTTGCTCCTCTGTGAGCTCTTCCCAGGTGTGAAATTTAGTTTTCTATAGGTTTTTTCCTCGACAAAGGTTGTTTTGCTCTTGGCCTGAGCTACTTTCATGGACCGTCGAGAGTCACTTAAATAATTGCCCACTCATCAAAGACTGGCTTCTTGGGGCCAAGTGCTGTATTTTCACTTTTGCAACAGAGTCTCGGGATCACCTCGTGTTCTTCTGTGAGATTTTTCAAGGTGTGGAATTTGGTTTTCTCTAGGATTTATCCTCCACAAAGGTTGTTTTGCTCTTGGGTTGAGCTACTTTTTGGCACCTAACGCTCTTTTTCTGTTGAGACACTTAAATAAATCTCGCTCCAATCGTCCTCTTCAGTCGTTAAAGACTGGTTTCCTGGGGACAAATTCAATTCGAGGAGTGTTGTCTACGCACTTTTGCAACAGAGTCTCAGGATCACCTCATGCTCCTCTGTGAGCTTTTCTGAGGTGAGAAATTTGATTTTCTCTAGGCCTTATCCTCAACAAAGGTTGTTATACTCTTGGGCTGAGCTACTTTATTGGACCCAACGCTCTTCCTCTCCTTACACTTTTAAAGAATTGCCCACTCATCAAAGACTGGCTTCTTGGGAACAAATTCAATCTGATGAGTGTTGTCTTTACACTTTTGCAACAGAGTCTCGGTATCACCTCATGCTCCTCTGTGAGCTCTTCCCAGGTGTGGAATTTAGTTTTCTCTAGGATTTTTCCACAACAAAGGTTGTTTTGCTCTTGGATTGAGCTATTTTCTTGGACCTGACGCTCTTCCAGTCATGTGCCTTCTTTGCTTAGAAAAGTAGCATCTCAAGTGGTGGTTTATAAGTTCTGGCGACAGCGTAATAACATTCTCCATAACTCCTTGCGGCTTGCTGCTCAAATCATTTTCAAGATGGTGGAGTGGAGCTACGAAACATCATCACTTCCAGATGAACAAATCTTATGCTTATTTGGATTCGTTATCTATTTCCAAATCTTTCTTTACTCTACTGTAGTCTTGTTTTTATCTCTTTTTTTGCCAAGGTTGCTTTTGTGTAATTATTTATCTTTTGTAAAGCCTCAAACTTCATTTTAGATCATATTTACATGTTTAGGAAAAAAATAATTCGGAAAAATGGAAACAAAAAAAATAGATAAGCTTAGTAACTAATAAAAATTTCTGTGATCCTTAGCACAAAACAACTCTGCATTCCTGCAACTTTCAGCACACATATTTTTTAGCATCATTCGGGTGCCATTGCAAACAATAGTAGCCAAAACCATAAGAAACAATATCATAGAAACGTGATCGACTAATAAATATTCAGAAATTATATATACATGAAAAACAACAATATTCGAATACCTCGAGTGACTTCTATTCTAGTGAATCTCATGATAAATATGGTGATTTTATCACATTGTTTACTCCGTTCTCTCAAAAATTTACAACAGTATCCACCATGTAGTCGACATTATAGACGTAAATTTATTATAAAATTAAGTTTTTAGCATACTACCCAAATTAAACTATAACAAATCTAATTTTGATTAAATTAATAACTTACAATTCATCTTCTAATTCCACATAAACTTGATCCCACACTTTATTATTGGTTTTCCGTCTTCAATATTGCTAACACTCACGACCCAACCAATTAAATATAATTATTTAAATTAATAGATCAAACCATAACAATGCAAAGAATAAAATATCCAAACAAAAGATATTATGGGACCAGGGAAATAAACATACTCAAAATTAAGTATCAATTTTCCTAAAAGATGCGAATGCGCAGTAATCAATCGCACCCAAGGAAGGTATATGTGAAACAAAGATTGATAAATTCCAATGAATTTTAAAATCATAAAAAGTATGACTAAGCAAACCGATAACATGAATCAAAATCTCTAAGTGTTATCCATCCAGGGCCTGCCCTGAGATTTGAAGGGCCAAATACTCAAAAAAAAGTTTTTGGTTATTTTGAAAGGTTTTAAAATTTAGGGCCAATTATAGTAAAATAAATAAAATTAGGTCCGTTTCATAAATAATTTTTGTTGAAGAATTTCAGAAACAAAATTTGGGTTACAGCAAAAGTTTCTTGTTGATGTCTATAGGGCCGGCCATGTATCTATCGTCCTTGGAAAAACCTGAATCCACGATGACGATAATACTCTCTATCAATTATAGTATGTATGTCGTGACCCTAACAAACAAAATAAAATTGTTAAAGGTATAGCAATCTTTCAGCAAACAATTTATTTTATTAGAAAAACCAAAAATCTGTATAACCTCTGTATCAGTATAAGTTGGAACATATCGTCCAAGATCGAAGAACACTTAAACCTATTAAGTATCTATACTCAGATACTTTGATTTTACAAGGGAGCACTGAAGGGTGCAGATATGACACTCATGCTACGATAAAATCTTTCAAAGCATTTCTTGCTCATCTTCGGGGTTTTGTCCCATATTACGAGCCTAGCTAATCTAATCAAATATACATGATGAGAATATGTCTTTATCAAGTAAGTAGTGGATTGATTAGGGTTAAGTGGTATACCAAACCTCCTTAATTAAGACTCTTGGTCTCTTAGTCTCTGTTTCTATACCCTCTGTTTTACCTCTTTGTAAAGGAAGAATCTAGATTATTCCACTTCATGACGTATTAATTAAATTTTCCAACATGCTATTTTTACATTTCACTGAATCGTTTGCTTCGCGGAACAGTTTCCTTCAAACATTGAGAAAAAAAATCATCATTATTTGATGTTCTAAAACTGAACAACAGAGCAGATGCAGGTATATCATGGATATTGAGGCTTAGAGTTGATACAAAGTTGTTTCTGAAAGATTTACCTTGCTTTGATTTTAGTCTTTTCTCTCTGTCACATTTCCCCTTAGCACTGTCTGTTTTCTAGAAGTAGCAGACACAGTCAAAGGTGTCTGTTTCCTTTGAGCGTCAGAGCATAATCATTTCCCTACAACCCATGCGATACAATAATTAGCATTTTTCATCTATAGTATCATGTCTGATAATCAATACCTTAATGGGATTGCTTTCAATACATGTATGAGATATGTTTTTCCGCAATTTCTTGCTCCGTGGGCGATGACATTAGCATCTTTACCCTCAAAGACAGTAGAGATAAGAGGCTTTATCTCCTTTGATAGAATTAAACCTGTGATTCTGTTTTTTTTGTAGCAATAGTCCAATTTATATGAATCTTTCGAACTGCCACAACACAATAGTTAATATGGCTTGAAACGTTGCTAATCCACAACAGACTGTGAAAAATTTAACTCAAAACTCAAAAGTATATTCTACTCGGTGAGAACATTTTTGTAAAATTAGAAAATCGATAAATTAAAGATAAAAGATCAATTGAAATATCACCTGAATCTTCTTCATGCATCGTGGTTGCTTTCATTCATCTAAAACATACAATCGTTTAAAAAAACAAACACTATTAGAATTTATAGTAACGAAAATAATATGTATAGCCAAAAAACAAGAAGATGAGCATACCAAGGCTCCTCGGAGGCAACGATTGGTGTCTGAAAATTTTAGCAGCGTTGTGCCTCTTGTTGGTTGGAATTGGAACACCAGCTGGTGTATAAGGATCACACATAACCTGCATGTATCAATAATCAATAATTTCATGGATCTGATATAGTTCCAATTGAATTTGGTACACTAATCAGATAAAACAAACCATGAATTTGGTACACCAGCCTTTATTGAAGTTTAATATAATAATTGATGATTAAGCGTTACATAGATGGATAAAGACGTGACAATAAAAAAAGATAGATAAAAGCAAGCTTTACGTTTTTACACGCTTTGATTCAAGGCAAGACACCGAAACACCCCGTGAAACAAACCATGTTCATACCTAAATGAAAAATCCATAAAGAGATCATTATTTAAAAAAAAGATAAAACTTCTGATCGCATCAATACAAAGAAATAATAATAATTGAGACTCCTGGTGAAAGATAATCAGAGAGAAGCAAGAGAAAAAGAAGAGTTCCCAACGATTATAGTCTATTGGGGTTGTTGAGAGGCCGTAATTTGCATCATGATGGAACCAATAATCAAACTGATATCAAATTATGTAAATACAAAATCAAAGCTTCTTTTTTTTTAGTGAAGAATATGGTAAATACAAAATCAAAGCTTCTTTTTTTTTTTAGTGAAGAATATGAAATCTAAGCTGCTCGCAAAATATTAAGGGAAAGCTTATAGATTTCTCAATACACCAAGCATAATTTAAATATTAAACATGAAAGTACTAAAGTGAAAAACTCACCATATGTTCGATTGAATCAACAATTTAATTGTCCTGGAATTGTTTAACGACGTTGCATCCGTAACCTATAACAATACATAAACACCATGAATTCATATGTGTAAAGCCAAATAAAATAAAACGCAAAAAAAAAAGCAAAAAAAATGGGGTTAGTTATGATTTGAAAGTGAAACCTAGAGAATGTATTTATATTAAACTGAAAGGCGGTGTACGATCTAATTTTTTTAATTTTTGAAGATAATTACAACAACAAGAAATGAAGATTTATATATTGTGTTAGGTCAAATCTTTATCAAAACAATTAATATTCCTAAAAACAATTAATAACTACTATGGATATTAATTATAAAAAAAATATTCCTTATTTTATTTGTTAAAAAATGGAACAATAACATAATTTTTTTTAGATTTACAATTATATTTGACATTTATTTAGATACACCATCATTATCGGTATAAAATATATAAGAAAGTTTCTTTTATTTTATCAGATTTGTGAATTTAAAGAATATATGATAGTTGTTTTGATATTATCGGCAATATCTATATATTTTAGAAAAGTAAATTTTACTTTTAAAAACAATTGGCTCGTAATTATCACAACATAAATTTACCATTAATATATCAAAAATATAATTAAACGATTAATTATGAGACACATCTTTTGTTGAAAAAAAAAAGAACCAAAAAGGAAAAAAAAAACACGGAAAAGGAAGAGAAAATAAGAAGACACGACCAATCCTTTCTCCGACGTAATTGTATGTGACTCACGACCATGATTAGATTGGTGGAGATTAATCATTGGATGTTCTTGGTCGAACGATAAACCGTCATAAAAAAGGTATGTAAACTACATTTGATCCAAATTTATTTATTTTTTCATTTTTTCGTGTTTAAGAATATTACTATTTTTTTAAATGTAAAATATATCAAATTTTTATATTTTAGGGTCAGTTAATTTTTTAATTTTAATTAATATTCGAATTAATTTAATAGAAGGTATTTAAGTAATTACGCAAAATCAAGGGCTCAACAAGAGCCGAGAGTCCGACACGTCAGCAAAAACACTTCTCAAATATTGTTATTATAGATTGGTTTGTAAAACAATCCCTTTATTTAATTTTAACAAACAATTAACCATAAAACCGACAGCTCATCAAAATAAATTTTGTTAGTTTTTTTTTTTTGTTAAAATAAATTTTGTTAGTTTCATGAAGAAGATTCATAAAGTTGTTTTACAATATTGGAAAACCATTGAAATGTGAAAGACTTTTAAGCAAAAAAAGACATAACAAAAGCAAAGAGGACAAATTGGGTCCTAGGTAATCAATGGTAATCCATGAGGACGTTGTCATTAATTATATAATAGTAATCAATGGTTATCACTGATTCACATAAAGACGCTTACGTCAGACGATCCATCACATTACAAATTTGCAATTTGTCATACGTTTTACTCTATCTGTGTAATAAGTTTGCGTAATAAGCCTCTCAAAAGATAAAATCGAAACATTTATCAATTAATAGGGCAAAATTAATAGAAACAAAAAGAAACTCAATAATTACATATACGTATGTGTATGTAGGACAAGCCATCACATAGGGGAAGTGAGTAGAGTGGGGTAGTGGAAATGACGAGAATAGCCTTGGACCCAACTCTTCCTCTTTGATCATTAGTTTCCTAATTTAGAAACCATAACATGTTTCTTGTGAGTCTTCTGACAGAACAGACGAGACGACTGACCATTACTCTCTCTGCTTCCTTAAAAATCCTGTGACCCAAAAATTCAAAGGAAAAGACTTGACGTTAGAATTTCAACGGAACTAATGATACAAAATAGTATATATATATATATATATATATATATATATATATTGCTTAGACCATTACGTTCAACACGTTTTTCCACTTTGCAAGGCATTTTCCATTGTCACATATAGGCGGTAAAAAATTTCTACGGGTCATCTTGTTATAATGACTTTTTTCATGATATTTATTCGTTAAGGCAAATATGATTTCCTCAATTTTATTTGGCATATTTGTTAAAAAAAAAGTCACTAGATAATGATTCAAGTGTATATTCATATCATCAATATTTTTTGTTCTCAATCTGATGTTAGCTGCTAATTACTATGGCATTGTTAGAAACTATGAATAATAAAAGCTATTGTTAGAAACTCAAGAGGATCTAGATGCCAATTTGCTTTTCACAATTTCATTGTTCGAGTTGTTTTTTTTTTTTTTTTTGGGTCAAAATTCATTGTTCGAGTTTTAGCATAAAAGCTATAGTAAATCATCAAAAGAAAAAGTATCAAATGTCGTCCTACTAAATTTATACTATATTGGAAAATGGAAACTAAACATATTACGCGTGAGTCGTGACACTTTCTTTGCCTTGCTTCCTAGTGTATACTGTATAGTGATGTTGTTGTATAAAGACACATGTTCCTTTCTTGTTTTCTTCTCATTTTAGAATCCATTTTATTAATGACAAATTATACAAAATCAGTGTTACCATGGATTGTGCTTTACTGCTTTACAATCTTGGATTTGAATTCGAGTTTGGATACTGAATTATGACTCGAATTGATAAGAAAAAGGAGCTATAATTAACACAAATAATTTAGCTAAATTACACGTAAATTGATGTTAGTATGTTACTACAGATATAAAATTAAATGGGACTTGTATATTTATGCATATGTTATATGTAGGCAGAGGAGGTGGGTAAGAAAAAAAGTCACTTTCAAGTACTGTTACACTTTGTCCTTTCCCATTTGGCTACTCTCTCTTTTGCCCTTTTCCTTTTGTGGTAACTTTGTTTTCCTTAAAACATATTTTCATTAAAATTCCATTTTCGGTTATTCTCCGAATTACGTCATGCATGGCAGATCAAAGAAACTAATGTTCGAGATTTACTAAAAAGGATCTTCTTTGCTAAAGAAATTACCAGATACTGCCATTACATGTCTTGTTTAATTACAATTCGACATTTTAAGTTATTATTTTAAATATATAGCTTAACTGGTCTTTTTCGTTTGGTAGTTTAAAATTGGGTATATATAAGTAATCTTTGTTAACTACTAAAATTAAACGAGTTATTTTGTATATTTAAAATAATCTATAAAAATGCAGAGAGAGTTAAACTATATTTTAAGAGATGTATTACTTTTAAAAAAAGTTACAATTATAGTTCGTTAAAAAATAAAAATAAAAGAGAACATAGAGGTTAAACGTGCAAATTAATGCGTACTAGCTAGGCGTATAATGCTGAAAGTAAATCATGACCACTATACGTATAGTAACATTTGAAACCCTAAAAAATGTTTGATATTATTAAATAGGTAAGCCATTTTCACTGCCTAATTTACAGGAAAAAAAAAAACCTTATATAAGAAAAGCAGAGAAAAAGAAAATGAAATTAGAAAACGGTGAGCTGAAACAACACGCCACACACAGAAATATACAGAAAATAGAAAGAGTAATTAAGTATATTCTTCCCCATAATCTCTCTCCTTTTGTGTCATCCAACCTCAAACTCCATTTCCAGATCCCCAAGAACACAGCTCAACAAAAAGTACTTTAAAAAGGCGACTGATCTCTTTCTCCCTCTATCTCTCTCTATATATATTTTTCACTAGCTCTTTCACACACACTCACTCTCTTTTCTCTCTCTATCTCCTTTCTAATTCACACATCAAGATTCAAGAATCAAACACCATCCTTGAAATGAATCTTGTAATTAACTAATTCTAGGGTTTTCAGATTCTTGTTTTTTTTTTTAATTAGGGTTTCTTTTAAGTTGATCTAGCTTCCATATACATTTGAATCAGGAGGAAGAGGGAGCAACTAACAAGAGGAAGAAGAGAGAGATGGGGAGAGGGAAGATTGAGATAAAGAAGATAGAGAATCAGACGGCGAGGCAAGTGACCTTCTCCAAGAGAAGAACTGGTCTTATGAAGAAGACTCGTGAGCTCTCTATTCTCTGTGACGCTCACATCGGTCTCATCGTCTTCTCTGCCACCGGAAAGCTCTCAGAGTTCTGCTCCGAACAGGACAGGTGAACTTTCTTCCTCTTCTTCTTCTTTCTCAAATTAGGGTTTCAGAGATCTATACATACATGTGTATGTATCCATCTAATTAATGAGGAAATGAGCTAGATATATAACTCGTGCTTGTGAACAGACAGTTTTCATCATTAGTTTCTGAAGTAGCAGGTGTCATGACTCATGAGTCTGGTTTAGATTTTAATTTGGCCCAGAAGTTAAGAATCTTTGATCCAATATTTTTGTTTCTTGCAGTATTTAATTTGTATATATGTGCTCATGCATGTATCTTATCATATTTAATACGTATGGGTCAAAATTATATATTTTTTACAACGGCCTAACAAAGATTTTTCTGCAAAGCTTTGACATTTCTTGATCAATATTTTTATAATCAGATCCCAATATGTGTAGATGTCATATTTACGACATATACATACCTATATATATATATATGTATAAGTCTATATGTCGTTAATGATTCAATTTAGTACAATTATAAAGGTATGCAAATTAGAAGTGTTAATCTAAGTCATGAAGCATGAAGAAATATTTATTTACATATATCCATAATAGGAGAAGAAGGGTGGGCTATAATAGTTTGAGCTCAGCTTACATAAAACAAAGGGTAAAACACCTTTTAATTATGTTTTCTCCAAACCACTTTTATGGCCAAAATATTATATTTGTTATTTGAGTCTAGTGCTCCTCCAATTACTATTGAAGTCTTGACGTGTAACATTAAAGATGCTAATTTGATCACATTTTATATTTAGGATGCCTCAACTCATTGACCGATACTTGCATACCAACGGACTGCGACTTCCTGATCATCAGGACGACCAGGTATATATACACACGCATACTTATTCCTTTGTGTTACCTATTGACCACTAAGAAAATCACACATATCTTGAAAAATATTATTCATTTTGAGTTTTTTTTGTTTGTGTAGGATCAATTGTACCATGAGATGGAAGTATTAAGAAGAGAGACATGTAACCTTGAGCTTCATCTGCGTCCCTATCAAGGACATGACTTAGCCTCCATTCCTCCTCATGAGCTTGACGGACTCGAGCGACAGCTCGAACATTCTGTCCTCAAAGTCCGTGAGCGTAAGGTAATGCAACATATGTCCATATCAATATATATTCTCATAAAACTATATTTTGGTTACACTTTTGTTTGATCTCTGCTATTAATATATTGAAGAATGAGTTAATGCAGCAACAGTTGGAGAATCTAAGCAGAAAGGTCACTCTCTCATCACTTTTTAAACTCTAATAATCTTATTATACCGCGGGTTTAATGATCATTACCGTGTCTATCTATGCATATAATATATCAGAGGCGGATGCTAGAAGAAGATAACAACAACATGTACCGTTGGGTAAGTTTGGTTTCTAAAGAATGTTAAATATGTTATCACATTTACATTTGAATGACATTTTTCTATATATAACGGTGTTTATCGCAGCTTCATGAGCATCGTGCAGCGATTGAGTTTCAGCAAGCTGGGATAGAGACGAAACCAGGGGAGTATCAACAGTTTCTAGAGCAGCTTCAGTACTATAAACCAGGGGAGTATGATCAACAGTTTCTAGAGCAGCAGCAACAACAACAACCAAACAGTGTTCTTCAGCTTGCTACACTTCCTTCCGAGATTGATCCTAATTACAATCTCCAGCTTGCTCAGCCTAATCTTCAAAACGATCCAACGGCCAAGAGCGATTAATATAATCCTCAATAGATATCTACTCGTTCTTTCCGGAGACAGATTAATGAACTTTTACTACCTATATTTTTATTAGCCAATGTCTTCTTTTGTGTGGCCATGGAACCTTGTTTGAAGTATAATTCACTTGACATATTATTGGTTATATAATTAATCATCATTATTACACATTTTCCAACTAGAGATCAACTGTTTATGTAAACAAACTTGTGTTCCAAGTTATGTTTTGTGAAAAAGCTGTTGCTTTGATGTTTTGAAGTGAAGATTGGCCATTACCTGGAGAACTGTTGGCGAAGACAGAGTGAGAGAGATGAGCAAAAACTATTCTTAGATTATTAGCCGCAAGAAAAACAAAAAATCCCGGTAATGTCTTATAGATTATTAGCCGCAAAACTATTCTTAGATTATTAGCTGCAAAAAAAAAGTGAGGATCTTTTTAATGTCTGGTCACAGTTTGACTGTAAACAGATATTGTGGATTCAGACAGAGTGGATCATCATACCGAAAATAGCTCTTATAAAAAACTAAGCCAAGATTGAAAAGATTCCAATAACTTTTACAGAGGAATGCAAGAACGATCAACAAGCAAGAAAGGAGTTTCAGAAGAACAAATTTCTTCTTCTTCATCCTCCTCGTCACTCTGTTTTCACTACGAGGAGAAAAGTTGAGTTCTTGATCATTCGAACAACCATCATCTCATCATCTAGAGCCCAAAAACAGAAGCTGCGGTTTTTGGGTTAAATCATCTAAATCTATGGCAGGAGGGGCTTTTATCGACGAGAGTGGCCATGGAGGAGAATACGAAGAAGGTCGGGTAACCGCATTTGTCATGATTACCTGCATTGTTGCTGCAATGGGTGGTCTACTCTTCGGTTACGACATCGGTATCTCAGGTTTGTTTCTTCCCATCCAAGTAAACAATAATTCTTTTCTCTGCTTCTTTGTTTTCATGGCGGATATAATGATATGTTTACAGGAGGAGTGACATCAATGGAGGAGTTTCTAACGAAATTCTTCCCCGACGTGCTTCGTCAAATGCAAAACGAAACAGGGCGTGAAACAGAGTACTGTAAATATGATAATGAGCTTCTCACTCTTTTCACTTCCTCTCTTTACCTCGCTGCTTTGTTCGCTTCTTTCCTTGCATCGACCATTACAAGGCTTTTTGGTCGGAAGGTCTCAATGACGATCGGGGGTTTTGCTTTTCTCACTGGAGCTCTTCTCAACGGTTTAGCTATCAACCTCGAGATGTTGATCATCGGGCGGTTATTTCTCGGTGTAGGTGTCGGATTCGCTAACCAATCTGTTCCTCTTTACCTCTCTGAGATGGCTCCTGCTAAGATCAGAGGAGCTCTCAACATTGGTTTTCAATTAGCAGTCACGATCGGGATCTTAGCCGCGAACGTTGTCAATTACGTGACCCCAAAGCTCAAGAACGGGATCGGATGGAGATTATCTGTCGGTTTAGCTGGAGTTCCGGCCTTTATGATGCTCCTCGGATGCTTTTTCTTGCCAGATACGCCAAACTCAATCCTTGAACGTGGAAACAAAGAAAAAGCTAAGGAGATGTTGCAGAAGATCAGAGGAACCATGGAGGTCGACCATGAGTTTAATGAACTTTGCAACGCGTGTGAGTCCGCGAAGAGAGTTAAGCATCCATGGACGAACATTATGCAAGCTCGTTATCGACCGCAGCTCACGTTCTGTACCTTCATCCCGTTCTTCCAGCAGCTAACCGGGATCAACGTCATTATGTTCTATGCACCTGTTCTGTTTAAGACAATTGGTTTTGGAAATGACGCATCTCTTATATCCGCAGTCATCACCGGTCTTGTCAATGTCCTCTCCACCATTGTTTCCATCTACTCCGTCGACAAATTCGGACGCAGAGCTTTGTTTCTTCAAGGTGGTTTCCAGATGATCTTGACCCAGGTGCGTACAAACACTAAAACAATGAAAATACTCTGTTTTCAAAAACAGAGTATCTTGCTCTGCTTTCAAAGACAGGTAAGTAACAATGATTTCTTTTGCCTTGCTTTGGTTTCAGATCGCGGTTGGATCGATGATCGGGTGGAAATTTGGATTCAACGGGGAAGGAACATTGTCAGAGGTTGATGCGGATATAATCTTGGCATTGATATGTCTCTATGTGGCGGGTTTTGCGTGGTCATGGGGACCGTTGGGATGGTTGGTACCGAGTGAGATATGTCCATTGGAAATTAGATCAGCAGGACAATCGTTAAACGTTTCGGTGAACATGTTCTTCACCTTCTTCATTGGACAATTCTTCTTGACGATGCTTTGCCATATGAAGTTTGGTCTGTTCTACTTCTTCGCCGGCATGGTCTTGATCATGACCATTTTCATTTACTTCTTGTTGCCGGAGACAAAAGGAGTTCCAATTGAGGAGATGGGGAGAGTGTGGAAGGAGCATAGATATTGGGGGAAGTATAGTCGTAATGATAATGGTGATGATGTTGATGATGATGTTTATATGTTTAGTTGATGAACTTGATTGAGATATTTGGATTTAAGAGTTTGGTAGGATTTGATAAATTGTTATTGAGAAAACGCTTATGCTGACCAATGTGTGAAATCAAGAATGAGGAAAATAATAAACAAGTGTACACAATTTGGGGATTCATTTTCAAATTAAAACCTTACTTGACTCCATTTATGACCGTACCCAACTAAAATTACTCGAACTTTTTGAGCTAAAAATAATACTATAAATTATCGGTTTGGACTAAAATAATTCATTTTTACGGATAAAGATACATGTCGAGTAATTATCAAAAGTATCCAAATTATCCGTTTGAATTGTTAAAAATCTCTAGAATTATTATAAGGTTTTCAATTACTAAAAACTCTCTTTTTTTTTTTTTTTTTTGATATCTTTGAATCGACAAAGCCCGATCCATAGCCAATCCCTACTAGGCGGAATAACGCAACTTACTGGAGTCGAACTCCGGTGGAGAAGGCGGAGTCAAGTGAACTTAACCACTTGACTAAAGGCACACTCCCTACTAAAAACTCTCTAAAACTTCACAAAATCTTTAAATTTATTTTATGTGTTAAATAACTTATTAACCATCGTATGACGCAAGTCAATCTTGAACAAAGTATTGTTATCATCCATTATCTAATAGGTACTCTCTCCGTATTTTAATAAGTGTCGTTTTAGAATTTTTATTTTTTTGAATTGGATGTCGTTTTCAAATTTCTATACAAAATTTATTACTTTTTAATGTTTTATGATATCATAAAACATTAAAAAGTAAAAAATTTTGCATAGAAATTTGAAAACGACATCTAATTTTTAAAAAAAGAAAATCCTAAAACGACACTTATTAAAATACGGAGGGAGTATTAGTTAGTTATTTTTGTTTTAAGTGAATATTATTCACATGATTTATATAAGTTATCTATTATAATAACATGCATTATTCACTCCACAACATTTTCTATTAGATTAGGTTTCAAGTTTAAGGTACACACTCTTTTTATATAAATGCCGACATGATGCCACATCGCTCATGATTGCATTAGCTTTAGGAGAATGTTAAATTAACAATACGATTTACGAAAATCCAGTTAATTAGGGTACGAGCCTTGTTTTAAAAATCCCTGCCTAGATCCGATTACTCCCCGCTTCATCGCTAGCCCCACCCTATCCGCCTCGACTAATGACTAATCCCTTAAAGAAATCAGTCACCCGATTACTCTCCGCCTAATCCGATTACTTCCCGCTTAATCCGATTATTCCCCGCCTAATCCGATTATTCCTCGCCTAATCTTACACACCCCGATTATTTTTAGATTGCTAGTATAAAAAAATGTTTTATTTTTGTTATTCAATCATTTGAATTGGGAGTTTGTAATGTTTTACAATAATTTATGTTCATATTTTAATAAAAATCATAAATTTGTAATAAAAATCATAAATATTTGTCTCAAAAATACATTTTTATGTGTTTACTGCAATTTTAAAAATAACTAGGTGATTGCCCGCGCGCATGCGCGGGAAGAATGCTGTATAAATGGTAAAATCATGTGAAATAAGGGATTGTTTAGGTGTTACTTGGTAGTGTAAGAAAAAAATGGTAAATTGTTTAGTATTTAGTGTGGTAAAATTATGGAAAATGATGAAATTTTAAAAATTCAATAATATTATAAATGCTAAAAAATAATAATAAATCATCTTTTAAAATCATTCACCAACAAAATAAGAAATCAACGAACATCATCACTCCATGGCATTCTCCTTCCGTGTGATGATTGGTACTTGGTCATTTTCAGGATTCCTGAGATCCGATTAAGAACACCATAAACAGTGAATGTCCAGTCGCCAACTTTAGAGTTTTGATTGTAAACGGAAAAAAAAAATACTTACCAACAAAGCATCTCGTCGGTAATACTGAGATCTGGATTCAACATAATCCTCGTACTTCCGGTAACATTGGTACATCTCCACCTATGTTCCTGTGATAGCTCTAATTTCACAAACTTGATAATACATATCACTGTGTTACGTGAACGATGCTTCCATAAGTCATAGAACTCGACTGCAAGGTCACCCGTTAAACGACACTCTAGATGGATACACCTAATTTTAAGATTTGAAGAAGTCATAAGACATTATATTCTGGTTTAAATCTTTAAAAGAATAGTGACTTACTCAGTATCACGTAAACCAAAGTACAGCTCAAAATATCCTCCTTGAGAATGTTCCACGGAAGGAACAAAAACCAACTCTCTCACGTTGACAATTTTGCCAACAACATCTATGAAACACACACATGAATAATACAGTCAGAACATGAACCGCAAATAAACTCCAAAAGCACAAATAAATTTATAAATTAGGCTTACCAACGCAAATATTCGGATTAACAATACCACTCAATATACTCACAAACTCAGTTAGATTGAAATAGGTTCTACTGGAGCACATATTAATACTTTGCACTAAAGTGTCCGAACGAAACACAATCTTGAATCTATGCGGTACTGGTCTCAATATGCTGTTAACCCGTGATACATCAAAATTTTTAATGCTCACCCACTCATCGATTATCAATCTTGAAAGATAATTATCAATTAATTCATCACGAACAACGGCTTGGATTTGTGTGAACTGCAAATAAAACGTCAAAGACAAAACCAATTCAATTTAATATCGAAAACATGTATAGCAGGTAAGTTATCAAAAAACTAACATGCTCGTCACCCAAAATCATATTGAGCTCTCTACCCGTGCCACGCGAAACAGACCAACAATTCAAAATCTTCACCGAGACAGACCACTCACCCATGTTAGGGTTAAGAGACGCAATACGAAAATAACCACCATCACATGAATCAGATGTATAAGGTATCATTGTAGAACCCATAACAAAAGATTACGCGGCTAAATATTCCAATGAGGTATAAATGCGGGATACATATATGTAGACCTAACGATTATTTGGAAAGAACATAAAAATGGAAAATATATATTAAAAACTAAATCAGAAAATTAACAAAAACGAATATTGATTAAACGATATAGAATTTATCCATAAGATTAATAAATTAAGTTTTTAAAAAAGAAACTAAATCTCAACAGTTAAACTGAAATATATACTAACGAAACTTAAGGGTAAAAAATATCACTCTATTATCAACACCATAATAATAATATATACAAATGGTGTAAGTTATTAGGGACGCAAATAAAGTTCCATTTTACCTAACGACGGAAACCAAAACCACACGATGCATTTTGAGAAACAACTTTTTTGAATGAGTAATACAAAAAAACTATAACCAATGACAAGTTATGTATCATGTATGTCACCTTAACAGAGTTTTTAACTAATATCATATAACATCTTTCAGACTAAATTACAAAAACTCACTAAAGCGAAATATATATAGAACTATAACGCATATCCAGAAACTATACTATATAAATAAAATTGTAACTATTAAAAGTGTCAATTTAGTATTTATCACAATCGATGCATATCATAACAGTATCCCTAATTGTAGAGATTTTGTTTATTATTACACGCGATTTCCATAATAATCGCGATAAAATAATATTTTTTTCTTTCTTTTCGGGCGTGTTGATGTAGTAGTTGTTTTTTTTTTTTTTTTTTTTGTTCTTTTTGTTTGGTTTGCTTATATATAATAGCGTGAATAATAATAATAAAACAGAGGAGAGAGTATATATTAAAATGAAACGGAATATCTAAAAGCAAGTAGATATATCGAACTATAAAATACGGTACAGACGACGTCAAATCGCAACTGGTTATTTTCTAATTATTACTACAAAACAGTACAGTTAATCCCATTCAATTTTTACCGGATACGAACATACTAAAAAAAATTACAGAAGAGATAAGCGATGATAACCTACACGCATCGTCTATGTGTCGAGAAACATGATAACAGTCGTCGGAAGTTCTAAGTCTTTGTAACAATGATAGCAAACACAGACGCATTATTGTTCAACTATCAAAGAAAATTACGCATAAACAGAAATATTCTAGAAAAAGTTATAAATGAATATCTTAGAAAAAGTGATACAGCAACAAATACATGTAGTTAAAAATTATGGATTACGCGGTACTTCGTATATAATTCGCATTACGAACATGATATAGTCGATAATCATATTAAATACACAAGAAAGAACAAACCCAATTAAAATAACAAATTCATAAATAATAAATCAGAAAGGTTAATAATTCCCAAAACGATAAAATGATAAAATAAATAACACCAAGACACTATTATATTGATAGTATTAGGTGGAATAATAAACCAATACCGAAACTATAACACCGATAAAGCAAAACCATGACAACGATAACAAATCTAGGCCAATATCACATTGACATGTCATCACATTTGTAAGTTAAGAGTCGGCGAACTATACCAAGACGCACACCTTCAAAACCGGCATGATGGAATCCAAGATCACCCATCACCTTACGCATAACACGAAAACCATACCACTCTAATTGCACATCGGATAACTCCAACCCTAGTGTAATAAAAAGCAACACCTTTTTGAGACACAACTATCAAGTCAAACAACATCTATAAGTATTTAGTATTGATGATAGATTAATACCAGGATTATTACGCGCGATTTTCTGTTCAGCCAACACATCACCACTCAAAACTCGATAGCAAGCGTCCCATACCGTGTGGACATTAATGCTTTTATAGAGTATCAACGATTCAACAAAACGAAGGCGTAGATACGCCGGGCATAAACGCCAACTACTGATGACAATATCATTAATACACTCAAGAGTATCTTCATTGGTATTCATTAAAATCTCATCACACTCAAGACCGTCAGACGGGTATGGCTTCATACCAGCAGCAACAAAACGCTTCAAGATAATAATAGACAACACATTAGTATCTTATTACATGAATACAAACTGACTATATATATAATATATGTACATCAACTATTAGTAAGATAGATATAAATTATCTCACCCCATCACCAAAATACTTCATGCGCAAGTCAGCATAATTCTGGAAGATATACAAAATAAAGTATAAGCAATATAATTTATATTACCAACATTTATCAAACACGTAAATCGGAACGAATGTTACCAAATAATAAATCAAACTGCCCACTATATAGAGTTACCAATTAACCTTTTTAGTCTGCATCAGAGGGTCCAATGATTTTGCCTCCTATACAAATCAACGAAGATATAAGTTTTTTTCTTTTTATTTTTCTGTTTAAGCTTCGAAACATACATATCGAATATAAAAATTGACAACATATACCAACCTGTAGATATCTGGACAAAAGATATCTCAAGTATAGAGACTTCA